CCCCAAAACCCCAAAACCCCAAAACCCCTATTATGTCTTCTAAAATTGAACTACTTTAGCTTAATTCCTATTCTGGTTCAGAGGTCTGTCAACAGCAAGGTTAGAGTGATATAGACCACGAGAACTGGGATGGCAATTGCATTTGAGTGGAATGTAGTCATGAAACTGATGTTATACAGGCTCATCACCAGGTTGGAGATCATGAAGAACACAAACTGGTTCTCTTCGATGATGCTCATTAAGTATCAATATTGGTATCCCTTCAGCATTGTAATAACAGTGTAAGTTACTATCATTGAGAGACTGATAAAGGATATCACAGCGACTCCATATGTAATATTAACGCTTCTTCTAGAATAAGATTGGACATAAGTTAAGCAAATAAAAGTTCCCAAGCATGATAAAATATACACTGGCAGTAAATTCACTAAAGTCTGTGTGCAAGGAGGATTCTTCCAAGACTCTTTAGCAGCTTCTGATTTTTTAATAACAAATTCACCACATGCGATCCCTAAAAGATATATGCAAATGTATCCGATGCAACCAAGAATTCCCTCTCTGTTTTTATTGAAAAAGTTGTCTCTTGGAGCGTTGAAAATATATTCAGTTCCTCCGAAATACAAGAAAAGTTGATATATAGTATACATTCCAAAAGAATTCGCTGACCTACTTCTTGGATTAGATACGCAAGCAGATGCAATGCTGATAATTGCTAATGTCCAAAAGAAGTTCCAATGCACCCCATACTCAGTGACTACTTCAGGATGATTTGTAAAGTACCTTGAGAAGTAGCCTCCAAGTGCTATAGCCATAATGATTGGGATAGCTTTGATGCTTTTCACCAGCCTTGATGCTAAAGGCACACCCTTATTTCTTATCACATTTGCAGAAATTCCACTAATAAAAATTAAGCACCCTGTTCCAATATCCATGAGTGATATGCCAAAAGTATGTGTTTTGACAAACCTCCTCGGGAAGTCATGAAAATCTACTGCAAAGATTCAAATAACAGTTGGAATCATAACTCCTGTTTTAAAAATCCTTATCATCATAGAAAATCTTTTCTCATTAGGTTTCTTCCCTTTAAAGCCTTCCTTAGGCTTGATTACGATATATTCTTTGATTTCTGATGTGAAAGGCAAAGTATAGAGGTCGCCACCAAGTATTTTTAGCAACACAACCAAGCCAGTTATGCCTATATAGATGCTATAGAGAGAGGCTGGATAATACACTGAAAATATGAATGGTACTCAGATTGTACCAACATCAAAAAATATGTTAAACACATGGGCCAAGAAACTCAGATCCTTCGGTCTTACAACTGAGTTATCTTCTCCTCTAATCTTCTTCCACCAAGAAGAGATGGACTTAAGATATGCTACCATCATCATGTTAACTGCTCATAAGAGCAAAGGCATAACAGTAACTGCTGCTATTTCAAAATAGGATCCTCCATCAAATCCAGATACAAACTTCTCCCTAATATGTTTGTATTCGTCACTTCCCATCTGGAGATCAGCAAAAGGCGTATCTGTTTTGTAGGGACTTCTCTCATAAACTTCGTTTGGAAGCTCCATCTTTCAAATTTTTAATTTAAATCTGCAATTTCTCACAAATGATTGGGGTTTTGGGGTTTTGGGGTTTTGGGGTTTTGGGGTTTTGGGG